CACCTGTAGGGTCAAGCAGATGCCAGTCTCTGCTGAGCCTGGATCTTAGGAGCCTCCCAAGAATTCTAAGGAGAGGGACAGGGGAGCCAACCCTCCATAGATCTCACATACTCTGCTTCCAGGCTTAGTCCCTGGTGTATTCCCATTGCCTGTTCATTTTCCCAACTCTCTTCAGCTGATCATATGAGCCACCAAAATCAAAGGGTAAGCAAGTTGCATTCCCCTCCATATTTCTAACATGAATTCCCCCAGGTTCAATCTTCTCTGTGCCTGTTTCACTCACTTTCTACTAGGTACACCCTAGGTGGTTCAGTAGGCACTTGCTAGGATAGTATGACAATGTTTGCTATATTCTCACAGACTTGCAGCAAGCTACAGCAAGACCTCCTTAAGATGGCTCTGACCTAGCACATGTGAGGCATTGGGTTCAATCCTCAACACCACATAAAAAATGAATAAATAAAAATAAAGTTATTGGCTGGTTGCAGTGGCACACCAGGTAATCCCAGTGGTTCAGAAGCCAGAGGCAGGAGTATCACGAGTTCAAAGCCAGCCTCAGCAATTTAGCGAGGCACTAAGCATCTCGGTGAGACCCTGTCTCTAAATAAAATACCAAATAGGGCTGGGGACATGATTTAGTAGTTGAGTGCCCTGAGTTCAATCCCCAGTATAAAAAAAAAAAAAAGGAAAAGAAAAAATTGATTACAATAAGCTGCTTTAAAAATTTACAAATGAAGTTAAATAGCATACTTTTGTATAACTCATGGGCTGAAGAGACTGAAAAATATTTTTAACTGAATGATAATAAAAGTATAACATTAAAAATTTTCAGATGCTGCTAAAGCAGTGCTTACAGGGAAATTTGTAGCTTTTATAAACTTCCATTAGAAAAGAAGAAATATGGGCTGGGGATATGGCTCAAGTGGTAGCACGCTCACCTGGCATGCATGCAGCCCGGGTTCCATCCTCAGCACCACATACAAACAAGATGTTGTGTCCACTGATAACTAAAAAATAAATATTAAAATTCTCTCTCTCTCTCTCTCTCTCTCTCT